GGTTCTTCTCACAAAGGATTGTGTTATAATCTCTGTGTCTTCTTAACACACATATTTCTTTTATAAAAAAACTATTCCGTCTTCTCAATCAACTTTATACCATATGCTTGCAATATATCCAAAGCTGTACAAACCCCCAAACACAACAAATCAACATCATCTGCAAACACATCACTAGTATTGAAGCGGTTTCGAAGTTACCTGGCAAATAGACCTCTGGTTCGAGAGGCCTTAAGACTCCTCTTGTTTTGATCTTGTCTTCAATTAACAGCTGCAACAAGACAACACCAGAATCATAGGTTTGAAAAGTGTAACTTAAGAGAGAAGTAAAGACAGGAATCAGTGTAAGAACCAGAGCTCCAATGGCAGCAGGGATCCCGACGGTTTTGGCCATAGCAGTCGTTGTTTGTCCGTTCTTGATTTCCCCGAATTCCAAAAGAGTTGCACTGTGCTTCTCTGTACGTTTACTTTCAGGGAATTCCACTTCTACTTCGTGATGAAGAAGCACCATGTCCTGAAAAACATAATGCAAAAGATTGTCCAAAATAATATGTTAACAAATCAACATCAAGTGCAAGAAAGAGAAAAAGCAAAGTTATCAATGAGAGGACTTGAAACACAGACCTGCTCAGTTCCGGAATAGGCTAGTTTCTCTTCCATTAGGTAACAAGTTGCATCAAATACGGTTTTACACAATGACGGAATCTCCCTCTCTTCGTTGAACCCCAAGAATCTGAACACACCGCAAAAGAATCGAGCTTAGGTATGTTTCGCAAATGATTTGATATCACAAATTTATCTTCATGGAGAAGCTTACACAATTGTTTTGGCAGCTTTGGATGCAGTCTCCTTGGAATGTCCAAGCTTGATAATTCTCTTGCTGATCTCTTCTTCTCTCGCGAAAGGCTCGAATTCCTTGCCTCCATCATTCTTTAGAACGTTACTTAAAAGAGCACTAAATGTAATACTTTTTCTAGTGGAGAGTACTTGATTTGTTTCACTGTCAAAGAATCCGAGTTTCGAAAGTGTTGCCATTATCATACTAAACCCTGGCCAAAATAAAACAAGTGTTAATTAAGCCTTCAGATGTTAAGATCATAAGATGTGACTTCTGGTTGTAGAATTCATGCCTTCATATCTGAGTGTTCCACGAAATATCGTTGATGCTTCGCTCTCGATGCCATAATGTTCCCCGTAAACCAAGGAGTTTCGGTTTGGAAGACACTCCAATGCAAAAGCTGGAAGATTAGGTACTCGAAATCTTGTGGCTGAATCATACAGATTCTCCCCTGCAAAAATTTACATCGCTCGGTCAAAATAGAAATGATATGTCTAGTAACATAAATTGTATATGATACATGTCTATCATACCATCAACATGTATTATGTCGCCATTGCTTTTGTATTTGGCGGGGTTACGGCCAGCTCGAATTGCTCCGGCAGGATTCCAGCTGATAATATAGAGATGCAATTGAGCAAGTGAGATTATGAAATGATGTCTTAATAAGAAAACAAAGGAAAATATGTTAATTAATGGTGTAAATGACAAGAGTACCTAAATTTATATGCTAATGGATTATTTGCAGCAGCAGGAGAAGGAAGCCCACCACAGTAAGAGGTAAAAGACTTCACTTTCCCCTTTCGGATATGAGCCTCGTTGATCATTTTCATCGCCATCATGTGATCTGAAAGACTCATTATGATAGGATCACCTTCTCAATTATCCAATAAATGTTTTTGATATGTACTTAAGGTAAATCTAGTGAAAAGGTACCAATTCCAGGGTCCAGTCCCATTTCGCCAAGGATCGTAATCCCAACACTCTTAGCCTTCTCATGTAACATGGACGTTTCATCATCGACATAGCTAGCAGTGACGAGATGTTTCTTCAGCTGAGTGAATCATAAAGAAAAAGCAGAGGCAGTTAGAATCGGGAAACTACTAAAAGAATGTGTTGAACCTCTATATCGAATAACATTCACAGATTTCATAACTTCCCACGGAAAAAAAAAAACATTTTTTCGCCTGTTAAAAAAGTTATGTCTAATGTTTTGAGAGTAGGATTGTACCTCAATGCATGTCTTTGCTACAACAGAATGACAACTTGCAGGTAATAAACTTAAGACAACATCAACCTGCGCGCAATACCGAAAGATAAGATAAGGGATTTGAGCAGTAGAGTTTGGAGTAAGTGTAAAATTAAGAACAGAGAATTGAAGATAATACCTCAGAAACATATTTAAAGAGACTTTCACTATCTGACACATCTAACTGAACTGCTTCTACATCTGAAATACCTTCAACCGTCTGCAACATGACTTTTCACATCAGTAAAACACAATAAAACTTGAAAGATTGATAGTTCAAGATGAAGCTCAAAAAAGCTTCTCATACCTCTTTGGCATCCTTAAGATACAGAGAAGCGACAATGACACGAACATCGGTTTGTTCTTCAGAATCTGCTCCTAAATAAGTTTTGTACCATTCCTGTGAAGAAATGGTCCTGACTGAAGCTAGGAGCTCAGCAGCCGGGCGACACACACGTCCAGCGCCAAGAATCAAAACCGTTGCTTTCTTCGTCATTTCAGGCTTCTCTTTGTCATGCTGGACTTTTCCAATCTTAAGTGAAATCTTGTTTGTTTCTCTAAGTGGTGATATATAATCATCATCTGGATTAGCTAATCGAGTTAATGAATCAATGATTTGATCCAACACTTTCCTATCATCTGCACCAACCTACTCAAGATAATGAAAAGAATCTTTTAGCAAGTGGGAAGAGGTTAAAATGGGACCACATTTCTTTTGGCTTTTAGTTTGTTTACTTGTTCTAAAAACTTAGGAGACTTAATGATAAGGATATCAAACCTAAACTTGACATTAATCTCTTGACAACTGTCCGATCTTTATGATTTGGTATTATCAAGAAACAAACTTACTTCAAGTTCTGAGTATGACTCAGCATCAGCGCTCTGTCCCAACTCACATTTAGCCAAATGAAATGAGCCACCGGCCGCTTCGATCATATCAAGAGCTTCGTTTATCAGAAACTTATCAAATAGGTGTCCACTTAGAGATACCTACAAACAAATCATTGTCTCAGTCGAAAATCATTACAAGAAACTTGATAGAGATATGAATATCTTGTGAAGCATAAGTCTTGGGATCACAAATTATCTTAAATCATATTACCTTTAATTCAAAGGACCTGTAATAGTTATATTTACTTTCTTATACTAGAGCTTGTCCTTAAATAATTTATCTCAGGAGATTTGAGTTTTCTTTAGATTGGATCATTTTTCGGATAAGGCTCTTTGTAGGAAGAGCTTTGGTCTCTCTGTTTCCGTTTTCCACTTTTTTTTTTTTATTTCATTTGTTTTCCAATCTCACTGACCTTAACTTCTTCAAAACTCACCAATATGTTATATGTTCTCTGGTTGGAAACTCCGTTGGCGTTATTATCTTCTGCCTCTCTTCTGTTTAAATGTATACAAATTAAAGTATAGTTTAAAGAAGAAGACTAATCACTGTAGATAATGTATATGAATTAATGGTTGAAGCAGAACATACTCTGGATCTGACTTCCTCATACGTGGAATATACTCATACAAAGATGTCAACTCTCCTCTATAGCTTATGCAAGCTCTCTTCAGATGTGCTGGTAGATCTGCAATTTCAGTCATCGAAGCCAAACTACCGACAAATCCGGAAAGAATATCTCCAAAATGTTGAGATGCCTTTTTCATGATTACAAGAACTCCATTATCAATACAAGGTTTTTTAACTGTAGAAATCAGTCCAAGAACTAAAAAACTGTAAATTTTCTTACCTCTTTTGCAAATTCTGTGGGTAAAATGTCGATGGCCATGCATAGTATGCCATCGCCATCCATGTCATCGTAGTATGAGTTGTTCACTGTATTATACCTAAAGACAGTTATCAGCTCGACGAGTTTCATTAAATAGTCAATGTAGAAGACTGGAAAGAATGTTCTTTACCTAAAGAAAGGGGAGTCGATTAAAGTAGCTCGGTTAACAAACTCGATGGAGCCACTGATATCACAAGTTATATCACATATTCCCACTAGTGGACATCCTTTTGTTGTTAAATCTTGAAGCTGTTTGATGCTCAGAAGCCGGGGAAACCTCTTCTCCCAGTACATACAGTTTACTGCACGGAAAGTCATAGTTAATTAACCAGAAAATGGGATAGTCACAGCCATGGAGAAGCAACTAGTGGAGACTTAGGCTGGTTATATGTGAAATTATGAAAGTAAAAAATTAAAATAGAGATCAGGATCTACCAAGAACAGATGTATACGGGGCGATCTTCTCGTGGAAAACTGGATTGTAGTGTTCCGGGTGTACATAATAGTCAGCCTGAACATGAGAAGCTTGAAGAATTAATATATGTTCTGCTTTGATATAGTGAAACAAAAGTCAAAGCTATGGAGCTAAATTGTGAAGTGTTACTTTGTCGAACGACTTTGATGGATCTTGATGTTCAACCATGTCTTGGCTAGTAATGATACAACCATATACTTGATGGACTCGCTTTGTTGATTTCCCATTTTGGCTAATTCCTTTGTCCTGTGCATAAATACACATTTCATTTCTCACAAAACATATAAACAGATTCCCATGAATAGAAAGCAAAGCTGCACTTACTTTTACAAAAAGTTCAGGAAGCTTGCTTGGTTCAACAAAAGTATGAGGAAGAAGCTTGAAAATTTCTTGTGCCCCGAGAGAAACTGCGGATGAGAAAATGAAACAAAATGAAATATCCGCAGGCCGGGAGGTGAAGTAGAATTAAAGAAGTTACCATTTCCTGTTCCGGTAAAGACAAATACAAGAGGGCAGATTCCTAATGGCAATCCCTGGCTTGCAATTTCTTCGCCTACAGAAATCACAGCGGCTTTTGCGGCAGCCAATGAGGAATACATATACGATGACCCGAGCGAAAGGAAAGGTGTTGAGTATCCTAGACTTAAATATCCTGAATCAAACATTAATAAAACTACATTCATCAATCCAAAAAAAGAAAGCTTGTTTCTTTCACAATACATATAGAGTAGTAGTAACAAGAGTTTTACGCTGTCCGAGTCCATGTAAGAAGTCAACAAGACCAGCTCTGCCTGCATATCTACCAAATGCTAATAACCTTTTCCCATGATCCCCAACAATGAGCTCATAATCATACAATGTCACTGTCTCAGACAAAATCTGCATTCGAATACCGGTTTTTTTCAACATTCCTTAGAGATTCTCATAAAAGAGACTTAAAAAAAAGAGGATGAATCTTACTTTATCCAACAAAGGCATGTTTTCTTTCTGTGCCTTGTGAGTGTGAGAAAAGAAAGCATATGCTCTCTCCGGAAGAATCATTTCTAGCTGCAAAATTAACCGAAAACGTTAAACCGCATAAACCGACACAAAAATGATTCTTTTTGAATGTATTTTCCTCACACCTCAGGTTGTTTGATTCCGAGTATAAGTCCACAATCAGACAAATCATCAGAGATTTCGCATCCGACGTCTTCGTACAAGGCATCGTGATGGATACGCTTAGCAGACGGCTGAACCACAATGCGGGAAACACCGGTTCTGTCTTTGCCACCGTGTAAAAGGCGAGCGCAATGCGATGGAGTCAATGGTGTCCTTCTCTCCCATTTGTTCACTGATTCAGCTAAAATCCCCACAACTCCATTCCCCAATAATAACTTCTTCTTCTCCTTATCTCCACTTGAATTCATCTTTTTCTTGTACAGTCTATAACCTCTGCATATGGAACAACACACAACCATTTGATATTTCGAGTTCGATTAAGCAAACATCAAAACCCCAAACTTTTAATTAGTGTACCAAATTTACAACACACGAAACAGAGAAATCAAACGATTAGTGAAAATGGGTTTTTGATCCTCGAGTTCTGTGGTTGAAATCGTACGATACTGAACAAAGTGAGAGTAGACAAAAATTTGAAATTTTGATTGGTAGTTCAAAT